AGGATCAAGCGCTGCTCGTACGCTACATATAACGACAGCGAAAGATACGTCAATCACGTGTCGAAGGATTACACATTTCCATTTGGGAAGGTTTCCTTAACGAGAACTATCCCTACACTCCACATGCCAGCGATGGAGTGGGCGTGGCTGCGTACTTGAACATGGCAAGGGATGCGTTGCTAGTGGGGTATTTCCATTGAAACAGGTGTCTTCTTATCTTGTACTGGACAAAGTCGTAGTTGCAACTGTTCGGAAACTGCAACATCCTTCCGAAAGCGCAACTGCCGTCACCTTCGATAGAAGTACGCAGCCACGGACCCCTAATCTTTGGAATAAGGTGTGTAGTTCACCTCACTCGGTGGAATCCACCAATATAATCACTGATGATCAGACCGTGCTCACACGCTGACCCGACGGAGAGTCACAGGATTAGCGAAAAAGGAATGATGCGAACTTATTCTGTCGATTTTTCACCTGGACAGAGTCCACGAAATCTACAGGTCAAATAATACCTGCAGATTTTCTGATACCCAGTTAATTCCGCGTAAGGAATGAACACGCCGTACACGTGAAGATTAGCCACTTATTATGTACGGTCCTCATCGCCAGTCAAGAAGCCTTTAATGGAAGCCAATCTACGCATACTCGTTCACGTCGTTGTAACGAAAAGGGAGGAGAGTGAGGGAACGAAGAAGGGAATAGTTTTTCCTTTTATGGTGAGGCGTAGATTCCTTGAAGTCCAATTTCTCAGTCTTAGCCACGCATTTGTGGAGGGGGGAGGCGGAGGGAGGGGAGAAGAACCTCATGTGATGAACTTGGGTAAGTAATCACGCCCCGGGCTGCCTTGCTCTACCAGTGGTGAATTCGCACTTGGATGGCACCGATCGAAACCGCTCCTGCTAGGAAATACACAGGGCGAACAGGCCATAGGCGGATTATCCACAGAAGCCTAAAACAACCAAATGCCTGGCAATCCAAAGTAGCAACCGCAAAATGCCAAAAAAGATCTCGGAAAATATTATTCGTGTAGTTGATATCGTCGAAACCAGACGGAGGAAGGGGTGTCAGGAGGCAGGACTTAGGCCTAACTGCGGCGTTTTAACATTGGTTCTTCCTGAATCGATCATTAACCGTTCCCACTAGAGCAAGGCAGCCCGGGGTGCATCAGCTCAACCCAATCTACAAGGTAAGAGATGAAAATGAGTCAAGTTGTTATATAAGGAGTTTGAAGTGGTTCGTTTCGCCTCTACTCAGACGAACCACTGTATTCCATCCATCCCATGTCAACCACATCGCAGTATCACATGAGGTTCTTCTCCCCTCCCTCCGTCTCCCCCCTCCACAAATGCGTGGCTAAGACTGAGAAATTGGACTTCAAGGAATCTACGCCTCACCATAAAAGGAAAACTATTCCCTTCTTCGTTCCCTCACTATCCTCCTTTTCGTTACAACGACGGAACGAGTATGCGTAGATTGGCTTCCATTAAAGGCTCTTGACTGGCGATGAGGACCGTACATAATGAGTGGCTAATCTTCACGTGTACGGCGTGTTCATTCCTTACGCGGAATTAACTGGGTATCAGAAAATCTGCAGGTATTTTTTTATTGGGGATTTTTTTTCGGGTGGTAGATTTCGTGCTCTGTCCAGGGTGGAAAATACGACAGAATAAGTTTGCCATCTTCCTTTTTCGCTAATCTGTGACTCTCGCGGTCAGGCGTGTGACTCCGTCGGGTCAGCGTGTGAGCACGGTCTGATCATCAGTGATTATATTGGTGGATTCCACCGAGTGAGGTGAACTACACACCTTATTCCAAAGATTAGGGGTCCGTGGCTGCGTACTTCTATCGAAGATGACGGCAGTTGCGGCTTTTCGGTTAAGGATGTTGCAGTTTCCGAACAGTTGCAACTACGACTTTGTCCAGTACAAGATAAGAAGACATCTGTTTCAATGGAAACACTCCGCGTCCCTTGCCATGTCCAAGTACGCAGCCACGCCCACTCCATCGCTGGCATGTGGAGTGTAGGGATAGTTAAGGATATTTCCCGAATGGAAATGTTTGATCCTTCGACACGTGATTGAGGTATCTTTCGCTGTTGTTATATGTAGCTTACTAGCGGCGCTTGATTCTGTGCTCAAATGTTGATCTTTGGATCCACAATCGCAGAAGGCGAGTGCAAAACATTTCATTGAAGTGCAAGTGAAAAACGCTTCGGTGGACTTTACTCAATGAAACCACAGGTGGCGTGATCAAACATGACACCATTTCAATCCCAGTTTAAAGGCTTTTCATGATAGTTTTCATCTTGCAGACAAGCCAGAAGTGAAG